GGAGATAAATCCCACCCCACTTGTGACGTCGGTGTCTCTCCTGTCACCTGAGATTTTATCTCATACCAACATTGGCCCCAAGGATTCAGAAGACAAGAATTGTATTCTGTTCAACAGATTTCTCCCCTTTTCCATTGCCATGGACTCCCATTATTGGAGATCCTGACTTTCCAACGGGACTGGACCATAGGAACATTCGTCAACTGCTGACGGCATTTAAGTTCTGCCTCTTGGACTCTGGCAACGCCTCAGGAGATCCTATGGTCACTGATGTCCCCGAACAAAGCAAATTCTCAGGAATATAGGATCTTATTCAGATGGTACAGGGGGCTCAATTCACTAAAAATTTTGCATGAGATAATATGGCCACGTGACATTTTTCAGTGAAATATTACATGTAATAAGTGAAGCGTCAATTCTTTACTAGTCCCTGGAAGTGATCTGGAGCCAGAATCACTTCCAGGGTAAAGCTGCCTGCTTTACGCGGCTGAATAGAGTCCCGGCGGCTTAGACAGGCCTGCTGCCAGCGGCGTACGGCAGGGAAAGGGTTTTACCACCTTCAGTCCTAAACGACCAGACAAGAGCCTTGTAGATGCAGGTGGGCGTTTTAAGACGTCCCTCCCCACCCCCACTCGTGAGTGGCGCCCAGCGCGCGCATGAGTGGAAATACTACATTAAATGTAAACAGCGGGGGCGTGTCTTGGGAAAGATGGCGTGCAGACGTGTCTAGTCAGAAACCCGGACACACCACCCGCAGCGCTGATAACCCGGACCCGGACGAAACCACAAGCCTACAGCCTTCAGCCTTAAAGAAATGAGCTCGAACAAAAAAAACACACGAAGCGGGACTGCTAAAACCACAACCGCCAGGATAAAAAAGTACCTGGCAGCAGAGCGGACAAGCCTGAACGCATCGCAGGGCGCGACCCAGATCAGCTCCCAAACGGCACATTCGCCGCAACTGTCCAGGCATGGACCGGACCCCGAGATGTCTTACCTTCGGGCGGAATCGGGAGATGACTCCCGGACGGGAGGGACGCTGGACGAGATGGTGCGCGGCCTCCCGACCAGGCAAGATCTGGCGGACATGCTCCATACTCTGGAGAACTCCCTGAGAACTGACATACTGGCGCTTAGAGGTCACACACCTTCTCCATAGAGTAGAAGACACAGAGAGCAGATTGGACAGCCACGCTGTGGCAATAGCAACCCTGCAGAACCAGTTCCAATCAGCAGCTAGGACGCAGAGGGACCTAGCATACCGCCTGGAAGAGCAAGATAATCGGGGACGACGCAATAATCTACGGGTCAGAGGCCTCCCCGATGCGATATTGGATGCAGACCGAAAACCCCAGGGATGTGATATGCAGACTACACTATCATGTGGATAAAGAAATTATGCTGATGAAGCTACGGGAAATGCCGCAGATAGAAGCTAACGGCGTACACCTGCAAATTTTTCCCGACCTGGCTAGAGAGACCATCATCAGACGCAGGGCCTTACGACCACTGCTAGATCTCCTCCGCGCCAAAGACATCCAATACCGCTGGGGGTTCCCGGCTTGCTTAATCACCAGAAGACAAGGCAAGACGTCGGTCCTCCGCTTCCCGGAAGAGCTGGAGGCCTTTTGTGAAGCCCTGCAGGTCAAAGTACCAAACCTACCAGGATGGAACGATGCCTTACCAACTTTATCACCGCTGCGAGACCAGCAATGGAGGGCAATAGGCGCTGCTGCACCGCTGGCTCAACAGGAAATCTGAACACTGGAGGGACCGAAAGTGGATTTTGTCCGGAGTTAAAGGGGCCTATTCCATCGGGCCAAAACCGGGTTGTACTACCAAAGGACTCCCTGCTCCTCTGGTTGTAAGACCATATATGTCATAGGTGCTTCTATTTGCTTTCAATATGGAGAATGTAAGAGGTAATTAATCGGGAAGAATCATAGTGATACATGTTGTTACATGAGCGGTGTCCGCACCTAAGGGTATTGGAGGGTTCAATGATTATGTATATTTTTGTATGTACAATTTGTATTGTGTATTAAAGTAAAATAATAAAAATTAAATATTTAAAAAAAATGTAAACAGCCGGCGATGGCTGCTTAAATACAAGCATTCTGGCATCTGTAGAGACGCCCATTCGCTTGAATTTTGTGCGGGTGTGCAGCCCCGCCCCCCCTGCCAGTCCCGAGATCCGCAGTGCCCGGTGCACAAACTCCCTCTGATCTCCTCTCTGGTGTCGGAATTCAAGAAGTGATGTATATTACATCACTTTCGCATTCAGCGGTCATTCCAGGCTACAGAAGCCAGGGAGAAGCGCGTGAAGCTTCATCAGCTTCTCTGGGGGTACCTAGGTGACATTAGGGGTCCTGGAGACCACCGATGTCTCCATAAAGAGAACCTGTCACGTAAATTGGCTATCACATATTAATTGGCTATCACAATTAACTTTATTGCTATCACATATGTGATAGCAATAAAGTTAATTGTTAAAAAAAAAAGAAGTTTAAAAACACCATATTTTTTTAACATACACACGCAAACATGCCTTGGGTTCACCTAAATGCAAAAATGATGATTGCGTCCCATTGTGTCGCACGTTACATATCACCACGAACGGTGGGGTGAGAGCAACGATTCTAGGCTCATCAATCACTGATAACTCTAAACAGATGACCGGTAAAAGCTTTTAAAGCACCCAAGGCCAATTTTGGGTGTGGTAGTTTTTTGCGATTTTGCAGGCACGCACAATTTTAAGTCTTGACATGTTTGGTGTCTATTTACCCGACACGACCCTGTCTTTCCTATTTTACCAAAAAATTGGGGTGGTAAATGTTTCATAACATTTCATAGGGAAACAGTTTTTTTCCCAAAAAATTTTCGATACTTTATTTGTTATATGGTGATTAAATACCACTAAAAGACAGCTCTATGTATCCCCCAAAATGGTATGAAATTAATTTAAGAACAGCCTTGCATGACTGAAAAAAATGTCAAAGTACTGCAGTGCTGAATACTGAAAAATGGCTTGGACAGGAAGGGGGTTTAAAAACACTTACATAGTATTTGAGATTCAATAAAGACAGGTCCGTCGAGTTCATCCTTTGTGTCTGTGTGTGATTGTGCGTATGTACACAAGTCCCTGTGTGGTCTAGTTTTTAAGAGTACCTGTACCCTTGTATGTTATGGTCTCTGAGGAAGGTATCTAAATGCTTTTTGAATGATTCTATACTCTCTAGGAGTATGAGGTAATTAGCACAAGGCTCTGCCAGTAACTGAATAATAAATACTGCATGCTTTACAGAAATATCTCCTTCGGTAAATAACTTTTAGTGAATTGTATACTTAAGAGTAAATTTAACTCTTAGTGAATTAAGCTCAGGGTCCATTACATTTTACATAAGATGGTCAAGAGCAAACTCCTTACCTTGCCCCTGGTACTATGTCCCATATTATATTGACCTGAGGTCCTATGATATGGTGCACACTATAATCAAACAATTGGTCGTGGTTAACTTGCGAGGTGATCTGGTGACTTACCTCCTACATATGACTACCCTGCCTATCCAGCGATATAAAACGCTCGTTGACTTAATGCGACTAGATCATGCATTCCACTGTTTTAAAAACAACCCCAGCTATCAACAGTGTGGTTGTGGTTTGCCAAGATAGACGAGATCTGTCAAATGGAGAACTTGACCTTCACATTGCACGATAACAAGTAACTGTTTAGATCCATATGGATGCATTTTAAAACCTCCTCTCCATACCAATTCGGGGTTTCCCTCGATTAGAAAGTGGTGCCAAGGTCCTGCGGGGTTCCACTTTCCTCACTTCTCTCACCTTTTTTTTAAACCGAAAATAAAAAAAATGTCAGGTCGAAACCAAAAATATTTTTTTTCTAACCTTTTTAAATATTTTATTTTTATTTACTTTTTATTAAATATTTTTTCACTTTACTGTTGGGGGCTTCAGTGAAATATCAGGGGTCTGTACCACTCTCCATCCTTACTCGCTGCAACAGCTGAGCCGGCGGTGCGGGAAGGAGTGCTCGGTCTATTTTGACAGCCAACTCCTCCCCCTCACCGTGGGTTCGGGCCCCTGTGACAGTGCACAGCTGTCTCTGCCCCCACACCGCTCTCTATTCTGATTGGTCAGAGAAGGCTGAGAGGGGCGGTGCAGGAGAGTCCATTGCCTGCGTTTCGGTCCACTACAAACGCAAACTATAGAGCATGCAGAATTTTTGTGTTTGCAGTTGACAGGAACGCAGGCAATGTTTTGCCATGCATCCAAATGCACTGCGGGTGGGGGCGTGGCTGCAGTGCCATTTACGTCAATGACAACCCCACCCCCCGAACGAAGGGGGAAGATTTGCAAGCGCTTTCTGTGCGTTCCAGCAGCTGCCGCTCTGGAACGCACCGCAATTGTCACTGAACAATCTGAAACTTTGTGAATGAGTCAATAGGCTAAACAGTTTGGGGACCCTGGTATAAAGCATGCGAAATGGTGCCAAAAACAACAAGCTGACTTAATTTAATTTGCATTCTTTGTGCCCAAGTCAATGTCCAACAAAATAAAGAGCCATATTAAAATGCATACAGGGTCAATGCATACAATCATACATAATACCTGAGATAAAACCAACATGTCAATACATACCCAGAAAGCAGATCTTTTATGACAGAACGTATTACAAGAAAAACTTGCATAATTAAATGGTCATTCTACATCTGCACTAAAAACTGTTAAGTTCTTAACAATAATGCACGCTTTGGTTCGGGGATCTTCAAAAGTTAGCAGGCCGTAAGTCTACTCTGCTCGGTGGATTGAACTGGTTTCGTACATGAGAGCGCCCTCTAGCCCAAAATCACCAAATTCGATCCCAGGATAGTTACTAGTTACCATTGAACCTAAAGATCAAGATTGTGCCTTGAGAATTCACTTGTCCGCACTGGTGTAAGTACAAAAAAAAAATCAAGATATAGTTGAACGAGACTCACCTGTCGATCCCAAAGGCTGCGCCGTAGCCTCTTCGAATATGAGCCTGAAGTCCAACTCACCAGAACCACAATGTGTGGCACTCATCGGTGCCTGTAAACCGCACAATACTTTTCGTTCTCTCCACCCCTCGATCCTGCTTTTTTTTTTGTCAGATAGTCGCTCTCTCCTCTAACCTCACACCAACTTTCTCGGTATCTATCGTGCGATCGGGCCTCACACCCCTCCTCCCTGTACTGCCTATTGGTTGAACGTCCCAACAACGTCAGTGTCCCGCCTTGTCACTGACAACATATTTTCTTAACTGTCCGTGTAAAATATATTATCCTTTCTGTGTTGATATCGTTTAGTTTGCATTGGAAACGCACATAGGATGAAACGTTGGCTTTAGCCATGTCGGTCTTTTTTCCTTCTAGCTGGGAGGGGCGATGTAGCCATGTTCTTGAAGACCCGTTGAGACCAGAGTACTGTTTATAGACGCCCACAGGAGTTGTATTCTGTACACAAGGAAGTAGCTCAGGTACTCAGAAACAAAAGTAGGGATCTTTAAAGCGAACCTGTTGTATAAAAAAACAGTTTAAGCATCCTGTCAATCTTTATCAAACAAGGTTTACTTTTTGTTTGTTCAGTGAAGCATACTGCTCTCTTTTTTTCTTTATGATGCTTCCTGCAGGAGTAGGACACTAGGCACAATACAAAGCTCTGCTGGTCTCCAAACCCCTATCTGCTGGAAATATCTCAGTTTTTTTGTCTAGTGTAGTGGCGGAACTACCAGGGTCGCAAAGGTCGCAGCCGCGACCGGGGGCCTGGCGTTCCGCCACTTAGGCCAGGGGGGGGGGGGGCCCTTCATGGATTCTTGCACCGGGGCCCTGAGGTCACTAGTTACGCCACTGGTCTACTGTTATGGAGTAAAGACTTAATTTATCTGGGTGTATTTTTTTTCTTCATCCCCTATCTCAGGAAGATTGTCAATTAAACTGGCTGGGTGTTATAGGCTGTTTCTGTTATAGATCTGGTACTCCACCCAGTCCAGCATCCAATGCAAGCAGTTTCCTGCCGTGTACAGGTTTGGCTGTGACAGTTGTAAATTGTAACGTGGGACCTTGGAGTTTTCCTTATCCGAGCCAAGCCCCCTAAAAATGCCCCCTCCCTTTCATTTCCCCCTAAATATTCTCATTTTCTTTTACATCATGTGGATGGCCAAATGTGTGTGGGTCGCCTACCTGGGAAAGAGATGGCACCAGGATGCACTATGGGAAGAAGGCAAGCCCTAGCAGAGGCAGAGTTTTTATAACGAAAACTTGGGTACCTGCCATTCATGTGGATGTTACTTTGACATGTACCACCTACCTACCTAAATATTGTTGCTGATCAAGTACACTCCTTCGTGAAAATGGTATTCCCTGGTGGCAGTGGCCTCTTTCAGTAGGATAATGTGCCCTGCCACACTGCAAAAATGGTTTGAGGAACACAACAATGAGTTCAAGGTGTTGAGTCTTTTCCATTCAGCATCTGTTGGTGTTGTATACATCAGGGGCGGACTGGGCCGGGGGGCAGGGTGGCAATTGCCCCCCGGGCCTCTCTGCTGCCTTTACAAACGGCCCCTGCCCGCGGCCGTCAGGAGGCCCGTCACTGGCCCCCCGCTAAAAGAAGTCTTCGGCCGCCAGTGCAGTGGCTCCCTCCACTTACTGAGTACAGAGCCGCTACAGATGCGGCTTTGTACTCGGCGGCCGCTCGCTCCTCTAGGCTGACCTCTGGAGGCCCCACTGATTATTCTTGGGAATACAAATCCCAGCAATGCATCATATACTGTATGTATAATGTACTATTGCTGGGATTTGTTGTACTCCTTTATAGCTGGTGGTATTCTGCAGTGCGCCGTATAGAGAACTACAAATCCCAGCAATAATATATTATACAGCGCAATGCGGAATACCACCAGCTATAGAGGAGCACAACAAATCCCAGCAATAGTACATTATACCGCGCAGCGCAGAATACCGCCAGCTATAATGTATTACTGGGATTTGTAGTCCTCTATAGCCGGTGCCATTCTGCATTGATTGCTGTATAATTTTACACTTTCCATTTCACACCACTTTTTTTTTTCTTCTTCCACCGCTCCAAGCTTGCTCCTGTGATGGACTACAATCTCAATACAAACTAGTAGTCCATCACAGGAGCCATTTTTTTAATCCCGATTAACCGGTTAATTGAACTCAATAATCGGCTAAATAATCGATTTTGAAAATAATCGTTAGCTGCAGCTCTAGATAAATGGTCACCCTACACCAGGGATCCCCCACTAACCACCAGGGAGCCTCCAATGGCCACCACAGAGCCACCCACTACCTCCCTGGGAGCTACCACAGAGCCACCACTAATTATTAGGGAGCCCCCACAGATCCCGCACTGACCAGCAGAGAGCCCGCACTGACCACCTGACAGTCGGCATTGGCCACCTGAGAGCCTATTTAGGGAGCCGCCTCTGCTGCACCCACACGCACCCGTGAAACTCTCTGGACCCCTGGTGAGAGCCCGCACAACCCTCCTGAGACCCTGGAGACATCGGGCGGTGAACCCAGAGCAACAGAGTATGTAGCTTCATATTATTCTGCATTGCTGTATAATGTATTGCTGGGATTTATAGTGCTCTATAGCCAATGAAATTCTGCAATACTGTACAATGTATTTCTGAGATTTATAGTCCTCTATAGCGGGTGGTATTCTGCATTGCTGTATAATGTGCTGAGATTTGTAGTGCCTCTAGAGCTACCAGTGTCGCAGCAGTCGTACACGCGCACAGCACTGACGAGGCATCCCTCCACTACCAGTGTGCTATAATTTTCCTCAACCCATTAATTTCTCTACCGCGTTACTTCCAGGTGCGCATGTCATGAAGAAAGGCGGTCATGAAAACAGCCGATTCGGATGACTCGGCCCCACTGGTCGAGAAAAATTATAGAACACTGACTTTGACACTTACCGGCGCCTCCCACAGCTCACACACTGGGTGAGCAGCGGCGAGCCGGCGCTGGTCCGGCGAGAGGAGCTACAGGTGGGATTCTAATTTAGCTGGCAGGCACCTCTGAGCCGGCTAAATTAGGACCTCACCTGTAGCTCCTCCCACTAGACCAGCACTGACTCGTCGCTGCTTTTTCCGGCACAGTGAGTGAGGGCAAGGGGGAGAAACACTATTATGCTGCAAAGTTTATTTGTAAATGTATTCTCTGCACTGTATGAGCAGTGTGTACTCTATATATACTCTATATGTATTACATATAGAGTATATACTGCTCATACAGTGCAGACAATACATTTACAATTATCCTCTGCTAACATGAATGGGTTAAATGATCCATAGTACATGATATGTAGCCCTGTACTACGGATCATTTAACCCATTCATGTTAGCAGTGCAGAATTGTATATCTATATGTACTGTACATATACAGCACAAATGTCCCGTACATCGCAGCATTAGATTTACAATGATCCCCTGCTGACATGAATGGGTTAAATGATCCATAGTACATGATATGTAGCCCTGTACTACGGATCATTTAACCCATTCATGTTAGCAGTGCAGAATTGTATATCTATATGTACTGTACATATACAGCACAAATGTCCCGTACATCGCAGCATTAGATTTACAATGATCCCCTGCTAACATGAATGGGTTAAATGACATAGGTGCCGCCATCAATACCGCAGGTCTTTCTCAAAGCCACAGCTAACCACTTTCTCCTCAACTCCCACACTCCTCTCTGGGAGTTGCCGACCTTTAAACCCCTTCCTGGGGCAGGAAGGTTAACCCTGTGGTGGCCCTTAAAGGGACCACAACCCGAATAGTGGCGATATACACTGAGTGGCCAGATTATTATGACCACCCCATCAGTACTTCGTTGGGCCACCTTTTGCCTTCAATACTGCGGCGATTCTTCTTGGCATTGACTCCACGAGATGTTGAAAGGTGATGCGAGGAATCTGACACCATGCCTGATGAATAGCACTGTCCAGTTCTGTGAGATTTGATGGTTGTGGAACCAGCTGCCTGATGGCTCTTTCAACTTCGTCCCACAAATGCTCAATTGGATTGAGATCTGGTGATTGTGGGGGCCACCTAAGCAAGGTAAAGTCTCCCTCATGTTCTTGAAACCACTCCTGCACAATACGAGCACCGTGGCATGGCGCATTGTCTTGTTGGAAGAAGCCATCTCCATTGGGATACGCCATCAACATGATGGGATGAACTTGATCAGCAACGATACTTTGGTATGTTGTGCTATTCAGACGTTGTTCCACACAAATTAAATGGCCCAAATCATGCCAGGAAAACATGCCCCAAACCATAACACTGCCCCCACCAGCTTGAAGGGTTGTACTCATGCATGTGGGGTGCATGCTTTCATGCTGTTTCTGCCAAATTCTCACTCTGCCATCTGCATGATGCAACTGGAAACGTGATTCATCGGACCACATTACTTTTTTCCAATGTTCGACTGTCCAATACTTGTGTTTCTGTGCGAATTGGAGATGTTTTATCTTGTTAAATGCAGACAGCAAAGGTGTTCGAACAGGCCTTCGGCTTCCATATCCCATACGATGCAGTGTACGGCGACCAGTGCGTTCAGAGATCATTATTAGAGAGGATCCCTGATTAAGATGTGCAGTAATTTGATGCACTGTTGCCCTTCTGTTGTCTTGTACCAGTCTTGCCACTCTCCGTTCTGCCCTAACATTGACTAGTCGCTGACAGCCACGATTCGCACGTTCAGACCCAGATTTTCGGCTGACAGTCCAGTCCTTAAACACTTTAACAACAGCTGCTCTTGAACATTTAACAAATTCTGCTGTTTTGCTGTTTTTCACATGTATAGCCCACCGCGCTGGAACAGCAACCTCAGACGTCAGCAGGCTGGGCAGGCGCCTTTAACCTCACAGGCATGAGGAAACAGACAGACAATCATGTCCGTACACTGAGGGGGCGGGTCCCAACATAACGCACTCAATCCAGGTCAGTCAAACCGGCCAGTCACACGTCTAGTATGTTGACAGTCGGGGAACTCACCCAATCCACCGTGTTCAACTAAATTCACCAAATTCTTTGAATGCTGGAAACATTCAGGAAATCATTACCACAGTGGACAGTGCAGTCAGGTAAAATGCTCGCTAATAGAACCCATCCCCAAACAAAGTGGGATGGGCCCCATAACTGATATAACATCATGTGTTTGGTGGTCCCATAACTGATACCAGAACGGGCAACCATCGAGAGGT